AGCTAATGGGGATCCTAATAAAATACCAAATACGACACTTCCTGTAATTGCAGGAAGCTGAAATTCAATGTATGGCCTCCTGGGGACACTCTTTAACAATTCAGAGGATGGAACAAAGTGTTTTTTTTGTAACTGCAGGGATAGAATGAAGCACCATGTTGAGGATGAATTAAGTCATTCCTGTTGCCAAATTAAGCTGAGCCTCAACACAGGGCATCCATATAAGGTCACCAGTGAGTGTGTGTCCCGAGTGGCGCAGTGGTCTAAGGCACTGCATTGCAGTGCTAGCTGTGCCACTAGTTCGAATCCAGGCTCTGTCGTAGCCGGCCGCGACCGGGAGACCCATGGGGCGGCGCACAAGTCGTCCAGGGTAGGGGAGGGATTGGCCAGCAGGGATGTAGCTCAGTTGGTAGAGCATGGCCAGGGTTGTGGGTTCGATTCCCACGGGGGGCCAGTATGAAAAAATATATAATAATGTATGCACTCACAAACTGTAAGTCGCTCTGGATAAGAGTGTCTGCTAAATGACTAAAATGTTGGTAGTGGTAAAAAAAAAAGGTGGGTAAACTATAAACTCTAGTGGGCGATCGAGATAAGACGAACAACCACCAATATAAACCAAAACATATGACATTTTTAAAACTGTATTGTTTGATTGCATTTTCATGCAAGTATATATGGAAGGCCAAATGTCATTTTCTGCCTTTAAAAATGACACAAAATGTATTGAAATGTGTTATCTTTTTAATCACGTTCATGTTCTTAGCATCTCATGTGAGCTGCACTGCAATTCAGTTTTCTGTATTGTAAACTGCTAAAGTGCACCCTTAGTTGACTCTAAAATGTTGTATTTTATACCCATTTGAAGAGAAACAAGTTATTAATCTGTTTGATTAGATTACAGATTCTCTCAGGGGACACCACTTATATTTCAGGGGACCCCACATGGGTCCCCGGCCCCAAGTTTGGGAACAGCTGTACTACTAACCTCTCTCTCTGCTTGCTTCCTCTCTCTGTGTCTCCTCCACCTCCTCCTGAATTGTAGCCTGCCTCAGCCTCACCACTGTCTGCCTCATCGCTGTCTGCCTCATCACTGTCTGCCTCAGCACTGTCTGCCTCACCACTGTCTGTCTCATCACTGTCTGTCTCACTACTCTCTGTAAAGCAGTTTTAAAAATAGATTTTGATATACATGAGAATAATATTCAATTGTCTTTATATTTAAATTGTCTTTATAATTTACTACATTTTAGGTTACACAGGCTGTCCCAACACATAATGACAAGAAAGTGCATTCTAGCATTGTAAAAGTCTGTTAGTTGACTCAAAAATGTTGTATTCTAAACCCATTTGAAGATAAACAAGTTGTTAATGTGTTTGATCAAATTAAAGATTCTCTCAGTGGACCCTATTTAATTTTCAGGGGACCACAATCTCTCTGTTAGCTATCTCTGTCTGTGTGTCTCCTTTGCCTCCTGCTTTGCAGCCTGCCTCACCACTGTCTGCGTCACTGCTCTCTGTAAAGCAAAGTTATTTTGTTAAGATAACTTATATTAGCATATCTTTAGTTAAGATTATAGCTAGTTTAATTTCAGTTGACTGCTCCTGCTGAGGCTCTGTTTGAAGTTAGCTTCTAACGTCATTCTTCTAGCCAGCTAGTTATAGCTAGCTATCTGGCTAACAGTAGCCAGAGCCCTTGAGCTAGAGGTCTGCACAGGACTGATTTCTTCATCCCGCTCCCGCCCAACCGCACAAGCAGCTTTTCATACCGCACCAACCACCCCCACTGGCTTTTTGTCTGACTCCCACCCGCTCCTGCAAGAACTGGTCCCGAACCCAACCGCAGTCCCGCAATGTTATTTTAAGCATAAGTGAGAGTGAGGTAAGTTGAGCAAATTTTTTACATTCAGCATTTCTCCGTCAAAGGAAATATAGTAATCTTTCTAACAAAGATATTTGCATATATTTCAGGATGTTGTGTATCCCTGGAAATAATCAGAATTCATGTAAACATTACAGTTTTCAAAACATATCTTCTCCAAAAACAGTGGTCTCTTGGCACAACTTACCCCGGGTATGTAGACATGAAGTTGGGTTAGGTTTAGGGTTAGGTTTAGGATTTTTCTGTCTGCCTGCCTGTGATTTTGTCTGTCTGTCTGCCTGTGATTTTGCCTGTCTGTCTGCCTGGCTGTCTGTCTCTCTGTGTCTGTATATCTGTCTGTCTGTCTGTCTTTCTGAGTCTTTCACCAATTTACCCATTGCAGCTTTATCACCAACTTTTCTGCCTTGAACGCGATGTATTGACTTACTGTATGAGTCAATACCCTTGATGTACTGTATATCTATGTGTCAATATCCTGTCTGTGGATGTGAGAGAGGAGAGAGAGGTGAAGTTGAGAGAGAGGAGGAAGAGAGAGAGCTGAGAGGAGGGGGAGAGAGGAAAGATGTAATAGAGGGGGGAGGAGGGAGAGAGATAGAGAGAAGTGGGAGAGTAAGAGAGAGTAGAGAGAGGGTGAAGGAGGGAGGGGGAAAGAGAGGAGGGAGGGGAAGAGAGAAAGAGAGTGATAGAAGAGAGAGGGAGGGAGAGAGAGAGAACGAGGGTGTCATGTCCATAGGCGTCCACATTGTGTCAATAATCTTTCCCTATTAAATGCAATGTATTCACTTAGGCATCAATTGGTTGACGCTCATCTTTTCCCATTGACTGCTATGTACTGACATAAGTGTCAACCCTGTGACACTCATCTTTTCCCATTGACTGCAATGTATTGACATAAGCATCATATGTTGTGATGCTTATCGTTTTGTAAAAATGTCACAGAATGCTGTTTTCCTATGATATTATGTTGCAGTGAGTAGCAGTCTCAGAGTCATAGAACACAATACTCACTCACAAGTTCAGTCTACTTTGAGATTACTTGGATCTTCAAAGGAGAATGTGGTAGGGGATTGGTTTCCCATGCTATTCAAACTATGGCACATACAGTACCCTTTTATTGACACAAAGTACACAAAGCGTTACATAGAATAGATATATGATATTTCTGTAAATATATTGTAAATATTTTACAGAGGGAATCAGCCTATGATTCTGGACTTGCCAGGGGGAAAAGACCTCAGGCAAAGGACTTCTGGCGTCTTCACCTCCTAATGTCCTCCTCCATGTTCTTCCCATTCTCATCTGCTTTTGTGCTTCTTGAACAGGGCATACAGGACCTTCAAGGTAGTTGTCACATCCTGAGAGACTATATCTAGGAGAGATGCAGTCAGAGACACATTCAATTATTAGAGTCATCTATTTATGCATCGTCACCCCTCACCATCACTGGAGCATTGATAATGGAGGTCAAGTGTGTGCATTTACTGACGCTGCCTCTTAAAGTGCGCCACAAAATTGAACCAAAAACAACCTTAGATGAAATCTAATCAATATCTAAACGGTAAGATTAGATCCAACAATATCACTCTTCCCTGTATGATGCATAATTAAAGGGATACTTCGTTGATGTTGGCATTGAGGCCCTTTATCTACTTCCCCAGAGTCAGATGAACTTGTGGATACCATTTGTATGTCTCTGTGTCCAGTATGAAGGAAGTTAGAGGTAGTTTCGCGAGCCAATGCTAACTAGCGTTAGCGCAATGACTGGAAGTCTATGGGTATCTGCTAGCATGTTAATAGATACCCATAGACTTCCAGACATTGCGCTAACGCTAGTTAGCATTGGCTCACAAAACTACCTCTAACTGCCTTCTTACTGGACACAGAGACATAAAAATGGTATCCACAAGTTCATCTGACTCTGGGAAGTAGATAAAAGGCTTCACTGCCAAAATCCCAAAGTATCCCTTTAAATGTACTATTAAGATCGACTTGAGCTGCTGCTAGCCTAATTAATGCACACAGTGGTGTGTGCTGTAGACCTGGAGCAGTGGGATTCCTTATTCCATCACAGAAATTAAAAGGACGCTAAATGAATGAATTAAATCTGTCTCTTGCTTCTGAGTTAAATGAGTTGTACTGGTCCAACCATTAACATTTATCAACTCAAAGCTTTACTTTTAAATTACAGGTTATGCTGCCATGCAAATTAACCAGCTTCTTTTATAATCATTTACTATAAAAGTAAATGCTCAGCGCTTCTTTATTAACAGTTTATTCAGAGGCAAAAGCAAGAAAACACACACACACACATACAGTATGCACACACACAAACACACACACACACTTCTAGCCTCTTGTCAGTTTGGCATTGCATGATGGAGAGAGGTTTAGTCTGTGTGTCTATCAACAACTAACAAATAGTGGTTTCCTCCCTGAGAGAGCCTCTAAATAAATGATTATGACCTCAGAGTGGGCCTGAGTCCCAATAGAACTCTGGTCAAAACTAGTGCACTACAGATGTAGGATCTTAATTTGAACCAGTTTGCTACAGCAGGAAAATAATCCTGCAGCAACAGGAAATGCGAATTATTATGTGGATTTTAATTAATGGACATTTTTGTAGGGGTTGGTGCATTTTCCGTAAGGGAAAATCAAGTCTGAAAATTCAAAGTGGAAATTACAAACTTCAGAAGCCTTTTTAAACCTCAAATACACTACAATCATTACATTTCCTGCAACAGGGTGATCAAGATCCTACATCTGTATATAGGGAATAGGTTGCTATTTGGGACAAACCCTCGGCCAATCATCCAGGGCGATAATCATCATATTCATCATTTTCATTAATATTCCAACGGAATCCCAGCTCTCCCTTCATATCCCCATGCATAGTGATGCGGCTTAACTCAAACTATCACCACAAATCCTGGCTTCCACTCAACATATGAACAGTGGCATGCCACTATTGCCCAGATAAATGCCTTTGATACAGGAAATCTTCTGAATTAATTTAACAATACTGTCTCACAGCGCCATTTCTGTGCTGTGAAAATTACAGCCCAGAGCAATCTTGGTCAACTTCCTATTTCAAAGATATATACATGTAGATGTGGTATTTTTAGATATTCTCCTCAAGCTCCTCTATCTCCCACTCTAAGTGCACTATTGCTATGACAAGCTCCATTTGGCTCCAAGTTGGTGTGACAATATACGTAGGTCAACTATGGGTGCCACAGAAAATGAACACACTTACCTTGGGGGTCAATGTTGGTCGTGGGAAGCCCTATGTCATTCAGGAGGTCCAGGGCCAAGGTCACATTCTGCAGCTAGACCAGAGAGAGTGAAGTGAGAGACACAGCAGGCCATGACACATTCAGATGACTGACACACCGGGGCAACGTTATCTCAATCTCACAAAGGAGTACAATCAATAACGTAATACAAACTACCCTCCTCTGTATGGATTTCAAGTTATTAACTAATTGGATCTCAACTGTTCTGCTGCTGTCATCTTTAATAGAGTAAAGGTGTAGAATATTATTGTAGGCCTAAATGTGATATTTGTTCCATTCACTGTATCATACGTAAGATCCACCCTTACCGTTGAGTCAAACAATCACATACATTTTTCCTTTGAGGCAGAGCTGCCACCAGAACATGATTCATCCCAAAGAAGGAGTCCTGGAACACATACAGTGGGGAAAAAAAGTATTTAGTCAGCCACCAATTGTGCAAGTTCTCCCACTTAAAAAGATGAGAGAGGCCTGTAATTTTCATTATAGGTACACGTCAACTATGACAGACAAAATGAGAAAAAGAAATCTAGAAAATCACATTGTAGGATTTTTTATGAATTTATTTGCAAATTATGGTGGAAAATAAGTATTTGGTCAATAACAAAAGTTTCTCAATACTTTGTTATATACCCTTTGTTGGCAATGACACAGGTCAAACGTTTTCTGTAAGTCTTCACAAGGTTTTCACACACTGTTGCTGGTATTTTGGCCCATTCCTCCATGCAGATCTCCTCTAGAGCAGTGATGTTTTGGGGCTGTCGCTGGGCAACACGGACTTTCAACTCCCTCCAAAGATTTTCTATGGGGTTGAGATCTGGAGACTGGCTAGGCCACTCCAGGACCTTGAAATGCTTCTTACGAAGCCACTCCTTCGTTGCCCGGGCAGTGTGTTTGGGATCATTGTCATGCTGAAAGACCCAGCCACGTTTAATCTTCAATGCCCTTGCTGATGGAAGGAGGTTTTCACTCAAAATCTCACGATACATGGCCCCATTCATTCTTTCCTTTACACGGATCAGTCGTCCTGGTCCCTTTGCAGAAAAACAGCCCCAAAGCATGATGTTTCCACCCCCATGCTTCACAGTAGGTATGGTGTTCTTTGGATGCAACTCCGCATTCTTTGTCCTCCAAACACGACGAGTTGAGTTTTTACCAAAAAGTTATATCTTGGTTTCATCTGACCATATGACATTCTCCCAATCCTCTTCTGGATCATCCAAATGCACTCTAGCAAACTTCAGACGGGCCTGGACATGTACTGGCTTAAGCAGGGGACACGTCTGGCACTGCAGGATTTGAGTCCCTGGCGGCGTAGTGTGTTACTGATGGTAGGCTTTGTTACTTTGGTCCCAGCTCTCTGTAGGTAATTCACTAGGTCCCCCCGTGTGGTTCTGGGATTTTTGCTCACCGTTCTTGTGATCATTTTGACCCCACGGGGTGAGATCTTGCGTGGAGCCCCAGATCGAGGGAGATTATCAGTGGTCTTGTATGTCTTCCATTTCCTAATAATTGCTCCCACAGTTGATTTCTTCAAACCAAGCTGCTTACCTATTGCAGATTCAGTCTTCCCAGCCTGGTGCAGGTCTACCATTTTGTTTCTGGTGTCCTTTGACAGCTCTTTGGTCTTGGCCATAGTGGAGTTTGGAGTGTGACTGTTTGAGGTTGTGGACAGGTGTCTTTTATACTGATAACAAGTTCAAACAGATGCCATTAATACAGGTAACGAGTGGAGGACAGAGGAGCCTCTTAAAGAAGAAGTTACAGGTCTGTGAGAGCCAGAAATCTTGCTTGTTTGTAGGTGACCAAATACTTATTTTCCATCATAATTTGCAAATAAATTCATAAAAAATCCTACAATGTGATTTTCTGGAGAAAAAAAATCTCAATTTGTCTGTCATAGTTGACGTGTACCTATGATGAAAATTACAGGCCTCTCTCATCTTTTTAAGTGGGAGAACTTGCACAATTGGTGGCTGACTAAATACTTTTTTCCCCACTCTATGAGATCCTTACCATCTCAGTAGTGTTGACTGGGGTGATGTTGAAGTCATAGAGTGAAACAAAGAAGCCCTCCAACTGTCCAATCAGCAGGAGGAGAATAACACCATCTGAAAACTACATGAATAAAGAACACCATCAGTTGGCTCTTACACAAATGGGTGTAGTGTGATGTGACTGAAAGGAAACAGATCAATCACCTTTCAATTCACAACACTGGTAGTGCTCAATAATACCCATCCAAACAGAATGGCCAAACCCTTTCTACAGTAAACAAACCTGTTTCTCCATGTCTGTCACCTGTAGTCCCAGGGTTGACATCTTCTTGTTGACAAAGTGCATGATGGCCTATAATAGAAAGATATAGGATTACAGACCTATCACATTAGAAATGTGTTGACATTTTAACCTCTGTAGCCATGTCGCTTTGAATAAAAGTGTATGCTAAATGGTATATACAGTGGGTATCATACAGTTGAAGTCGGAAGTTTACATACACTTAGGTTGGAGTCATTAAAACTCATTTTTCAACCACTCCACAAATTTCTTGTTAACAAACTATAGTTTTGGCAAGTCGGTTAGGAGAGGAATTCACCGTTCAGCTTGACAATAACCTAAAACACAAGGCCAAATTTACACTGGCGTTGCTTACCAAGAACACAGTGAAAATTCCTGAGTGGCCAAGTTACAGTTTTGACTTAAATCTGCTTGAAAATCTATGGCAATACTTGAAAATAGCTGTCTAGCCATGATCCCCAACACCTTGAAATACAGTACCAGTCAAAAGTTTGGACACACCTACTCATTCCAGGGTTTTTCTTTATTTTTACTATTTCTCACATTGTAGAATAATAGTGTAGACATCAAAACTATGAAATAACACATATGGAATCATGTAGTAACCAAAAAAGCGTTAAACAAATCCAAATATATTTTATATTTGAGATTCTTCAAAGTAGCCACCCTTTGCCTTGATGATAGCTTTGCACACTCTCAACCAGATTCATGAGGTAGTCACCTGGAATGCATTTCAATTAACAGGTGTACCTCGTTAATAGTTAATTTCTGGAATTTCATTCCTTCTTAATGCGTTTGAGCCAATCAGTTGTGTTGTGTTACTCCTGAGTGGCGCAGTGGTCTAAGGCACTGCATTGCAGTGCTAACTGTGCCACTAGAGATCCTGGTTCGAATCCAGGCTCTGTCGCAGCCGGCCACGACCGGGAGACTCATGGGCGGCGCACAATTGGCCCAGCGTCGTCCAGGGTAGGGGAGGGAATGGCCGGCAGGGATGTAGCTCAGTTGATAGAGCATGGCGTTTGCAACGCCAGGGTTGTGGGTTCGATTCCCACGGGGGGCCAGTATAAAAAAATATGTATTCACTAACTGTAAGTCGCTCTGGATAAGAGCGTCTGCTAAATGACTAAAATGTAAATGTTGTGAGAAGGTAGGGGGGTATACAGAAGATAGCCCTATTTGGTAAAAGACCAAGTCCATATTATGGCAAGAACAGCTTAAATAATCAAAGAGAAATGACAGTCCATCATTACTTTAAGAGATGAAGGTCAGTCAATCTGGAAAATGTCAAGAACTTTGAACGTTTCCCCAAGTGCAGTCGCAAAAACCATCAAGCGCTATGACAAAACTGGCTCTCATGAGGACCGCCACAGGAAAGGAAGACCCAGAGTTAGCTCTGCTGCAGAGGATAAGTTCATTAGCCTCAGAAATTGCAGCCCAAATAAATGCTTCACAGAGTTCATCTCAACATCAACTGTTCAGAGAAGACTGTGTGAATCAGGTCTTCATGGTCGAATTGCTGCAAAGAAACCACTACTAAACGACACCAATAAGAAGAAGAGACTTGCTTGCGCCAAGAAACATGAGCATTGGACATTAGACCGGTGGAAATGTGTCCTTTGGTCTGGAGTCCATATTTGAGAGTTTTGGTTCCAACCGCTGTGTCTTTGTGAGACGCAATGTAGGTAACGGATGATCTCCGCATGTGTTGTTCCCACTGTGAAGCATGGAGGAGGAAGTGTGATGGTGTGGGGGTGCTTTGCTGGTGACACTGTCTGTGATTTATTTAGAATTCAAGCACACTTAACCAGCATGGCTACCACAGCATTCTGCAGCGATACGCCATCCCATCTGGTTTGGGCTTAGTGGGACAATCATTTGTTTTTCAACAGGACAATGACCCAAAACACACCTTCAGGCTGTGTAAGGGCAATTTGACCAAGAAGGAGAGGGCTATTTGACCAAGAAGGAGAGTGATGGAGTGCTGCATCAGATGACCTGGCCTCCACAATCCGCCGAGCTCAACCCAATTGAGATGGTTTGGGATGAGTTGGACCGCAGAGTGAAGGGAATGCAGCCAAAAAGTGGTCAGCATATGTGGGAACTCCTTCAAGACTGTTGGAAAAGCATTCCAGGTGAAGCCTGTTGAGAGAATGCCAAGAGTGTGCAAAGCTGTCATCAAGGCAAAGGGTGTCTACTTTGAAGAATCTCAATTTGTTTAACACTTTTTTGGTACTACATGATATCATATGTGTTATTTCATAGTTTTGATGTCTTCAATATTATTCTACAATGTAAAAAAAATAGTTAAAATAAAGAAAAACCCTTGAATGAGTAGGTGTATCCAAAGTTTTGACTGGTACTGTAGGTTGAATAATGTTTTTAACATGTATTGACTCAGGGGGGTGAATACCTATCTAATTAAGGTATATTAGTGTTTTATTTTTCATTATGCTTTTTAAAAAATGTTAGATTTTCTTTTCCACTTGGACATTACAGAGTATTTTGTGTAGATCCTTGACCAAAAATTACAATTAAATCAATTTTAATTCCACTTTGGGAGGCTGGTGGGATGAGCTATAGGAGGACGGGCTCATTGTAATGGCTGGAATGGAATAAATGGAACTGTATCAAACACATCAAGGATATGGAAACCACATGTTTGACTCCGTTCCATTAATACCATTCCAGCCATTACAATGAGCCCGTCCTCCTATAGCTCCTCCCACCAGTCTCCACTGGTGTGGTCCTGTATGGCTCAATTGGTAGAGCATGGTGTTAGCAACGTGTGTGTTCAGTTCCCGCGGTTACCCATAAGTAAAATGTATGCACGCATGACTGTAAGTCCCTTTGGATAAAAGTGTCTACTAAATGGCATATATTTTAAAGTACCACAATATATATATATATATATATATATATATATACACTACTGTTCAAAAGTTTGGGGTCACTTAGAAATGTCCTTGTTTTTTAAAGAAAAGCAATTGTTTTGTCCATTAAAATAACATCAAATTGATCAGAAATACAGTGTAGACATTGTTAATGTTGTAAATGGCTATTGTATGTCACGGATTCAGCCGAGGCTGCTCCTCCTCCTTGCTCGGGCAGGCTTCGGCGTTCGTCGTCCCCGGAGTACTAGCTGCTGCCGATCGATGTTTCGGTGTTTGTCTTGTTTGGTCTTTATTGTTTACACCTGTTTCCCATTATGTTTTATTGTGTTCCCTTTATAACCCTCTGTTTCTCATTGTGTATTGTGCGTTATTGTTTTGGTCTTTGCGGCAGTTGCCCATGTGTGCGGGTCTTATTATTTCCTCGCTGTTTGAGGTTGCCAGTGTACTTTTTATTGTTGCACTGAATCCAGTAAAGTTTCTGCCAGTAGCTCGGTGTCCTGCTCTTGACTTCGCCTACCGCATACACGTCGCTGTGACAGAATAACGCACCCTTTAGACATGGAGTCAGCAGGAGCAGCGGTGCCAGCTGGATCAATAGAAGAGCGCGTAGAACAACAAGCGGCTATGATCCAGGCTCTCGGCACCACCATGGAACAGGTGGTGAAAACCGTGGCGCGATGGGAAAGAAGAAGTTGGTCTACACCTCCTCCGACGATACCACCACCATCAGCTATGCCCAACGCTTCATCTCCGGGGTCCAGTGGGATTCGGCTCTCGCTCCCGAGGTTTCCTGCTCCAGGTGGAACTCTACCTGGCAACCATCCACCCGGCGCCCTCGGGATACGAGAGCGTGTCCGCCCTCATCTCCTGTCTGTCCGGCAAGGCGCTGGAGTGGGCCAACGCCGAGTGGGGGGGAATAGACGCCGCTACAGTCAACTATGCAGAGTTCACCCGCCGCTTCAGGGCAGTATTCGATCATCCACCAGAGGGTAAGGCGGCGGGTGAACGTCTATTCCACCTTCGACAGGGGAGGAGGAGCGCGCAGGAGTTCGCACTGGACTTCCGGAGCTCGGAAGTGCTGGGGGATGGAATGGACGGCCCCGAGTCCGGACGTCCGCGGGTAGCCAACAGGGTGTCCAGGCGAATCCCCCAGCACTTCCGAGCACTGGCTGCCAACGCGGGATGGAATGAGAGGGCCCTCATCAACCACTACAGATGTAACCTGAGGGAGGACGTGCGTCGGGAATTGGCCTGCAGGGACACCAACCTAAACTTCGATCAACTGGTGGACATGTCGATTCGCCTGGACACCCTGTTGGCTACCCGCGGACGTCCGGACTCGGGGCCGTCCATTCCATCCCCCAGCACTTCCGAGCTCGGAGCTGCTGGTACTAGGAGAGAGACCAGGAGAGAGGCCGTCCCCTGCACCAACTGTGGCCGCAGAGGACACACTGCTGGTCGGTGCTGGGGAGGGTCTCCGCGGAATCGAGGCAGTAGGCCGCGCACTGATGAGTCATTCCAGGTGAGTAAGCGCCCAACTCACCCAGAGCTCCCTGTTGCGTATATGTGTATTAAAGTTGTGTTTCCCGAGGTTTCTCCTCATTCCTAGCATAAGGCGCTAGTCGATTCAGGCGCAGCTGGGAATTTTATCGATCGCCATTTCACCCATAAGTTAGGGATTCCTATAGTTCCAGTGGATGTGCCCTTCCCTATCCATGCCCTAGATAGTCGCCCTTTGGGGTCTGGGTTGATTAGGGAGGTCACGGCGCCGCTCAGGATGAAAACGCAGGAGGGCCATGAGGAGATAATTTGGTTGTATTTGATTGACTCTCCTGCGTTTCCTGTGGTGTTGGGGCTTCCCTGGTTGAAGTCTCATGACCCCAACATTTCATGGCAACAGAGGGCTCTCAAGGGATGGTCTGATCAGTGTGTCGGGAGGTGTGTGGGTGTTTCCGTAGGGGCCATGACGGTGGAAAGTCCGAACCAAGTTCCCACCATGCACATTCCACCTGAATATGCCGATTTGGCTCTCGCCTTCTGTAAAAAGAAGGCGACTCAATTACCACCCCATCGACAGGGGGATTGTGCGATAAACCTCCAAGTAGGCGCTGCGCTTCCACGTAGCCATGTGTATCCTCTGTCTCAGGAGGAGACGGCGGCTATGGAAACATATATCGCCGAATCGCTGAGACAGGGATACATACGGCCGTCCACTTCCCCTGCGTCCTCGAGTTTCTTTTTTGTGAAGAAGAAAGATGGGGGTTTACGCCCGTGTATTGACTACCGTGGTCTCAATCAGATCACCATCAAATATAGCTATCCTCTCCCTCTGATTGCTAGTATGACGGAGTCATTACACAGGGCGCGATTTTTCACAAAATTGGATCTCAGGAGCGCGTACAACCTGGTGCGCATTAGGGAGGGAGATGAGTGGAAGACAGCATTCAGTACCACCTCGGGTCACTATGAGTACCTCGTCATGCCACACGGGTTAATGAATGCTCCTTCAGTCTTCCAATCATTTGTGGATGAGATTTTCCGGGACTTACATGGACAGGGTGTAGTGGTGTATATTGATGACATTCTAATATACTCCGCTACCCGCGCAGAGCATGTGTCCCTGGTTCGTCGGGTGCTTGGTAGACTGTTGGAGCATGACCTGTATGCAAAGGCGGAGAAATGTCTGTTCTTCCAGGAGTCCATCTCCTTCCTGGGACACCGGTTGTCAGCGTCAGGGGTGGAGATGGAGATTGACCGTGTTTCAGCCGTACGCAATTGGCCGACTCCCTCCACGGTGAAGGAGGTGCAGCGGTTCTTGGGTTTTGCCAATTACTACCGGAGGTTTATCCGGGGCTTTGGGCAGGTAGCAGCTCCCATTACCTCTCTGCTAAGGGGGGGTCCGGTGCGTCTGCAGTGGTCGGCTGAGGCGGACAGGGCTTTTGGGCATCTGAAGGACCTGTTTACCTCGGCTCCGGTGCTGACACATCCGGATCCCTCTTTGGCGTTCCAAGTTGAGGTGGAAGCGTCCGAGGCTGGGATCGGTGCTGTACTGTCTCAGCGCTCGGGTACGCCACCTAAACTCCGCCCCTGTGCTTTCTTTTCTAAGAAGCTCAGTCCGGCGGAGCGCAATTATGATGTGGGGGACCGGGAGCTGTTAGCTGTGGTGCAAGCCCTGAAGGTGTGGAGGCATTGGCTTGAGGGGGCTAAACACCCTTTTCTCATTTTGACTGACCATCGTAACCTGGAGTACATCCGGGCGGCGAGGAGGCTGAACCCTCGCCAGGCTAGGTGGGTTATGTTTTTCACCCGATTTGTATTTACGCTCACCTATAGACCAGGGTCACAGAAAGCTAAGGCAGATGCCCTGTCCCGACTATATGACACAGAGGAGAGGTCCATTGAGCCTACTCCCACACTTCCGGAGTCTTGTCTGGTGGCACCGGTGGTATGGGAGGTTGATGCGGACATCGAGCGGGCGTTACGTACCGATCCTACTCCCCCACAGTGTCCAGAGGGTCGGAAGTACGTGCCGCTCGAGGTTCGTGATCGATTAATATATTGGGCTCACATGTCACCTTCCTCTGGCCATCCTGATATTGGATGGACAGTGCACTGCCTTAGTGGAAAGTACTGGTGGCCCACTTTGGCTAAGGACGTGAGGGTTTATGTTTCCTCCTGCTCGGTGTGCGCTAAGTGTAAGGCGCCTAGACACCTACCCAGAGGGAAATTACAACCCCTACCCGTTCCACAACGACCGTGGTCTCACCTCTCGGTGGATTTCGTCACGGACCTTCCCCCCTCCCAGGCGAATACGACGATCTTGGTCGTTGTGGATCGGTTTTCAAAGGCCTGCCGTCTCATTCCTATGCCAGGTCTCCCTACAGCCCTACAAACTGCTGACGCCCTGTTTACACACGTCTTCCGGCAAAACGGGGTACCTGAGGATATAGTGTCTGATCGGGGTCCCCAGTTCACCTCTAGAGTCTGGAGGGCATTTATGGAACGTCTGGGGGTCTCGATTAGCCTTACCTCTAGGTTTCACCCCAAGAGTAACGGGCAGGTGGAGAGAGTGAACCAGGATGTGGGTAGGTTACTGAGGTCCTATTGCCAGGACCAGCAGGGGGAGTGGTCGGAATATGTCCCCTGGGCAGAAATAGTCCAATACTCACTTCGCCACTCCTCAAGACGAGTGGTTTCGGCGCTCGGAGGAAACCTGGAACGCTGCGCATGTCCATCTACAGCGAGCGATCAGGCGGCAAAAGGCGAGCGCCGATCGCCACCGCAGTGAGGCTCCGGTGTATGCACCGGGAGATTGGGTCTGGCTCTCGACCCAAAACCTGCCCCTTCGCCTGCCCTGCCGGAAGCTGGGTTGGCGGTTTGTGGGGCCATTTAAAGTCCTGAGGAGATTGAACGAGGTATGTTATAGGTTACAACTGCCCATTAATTACCGCATTAACCCCTCGTTCCATGTGTCTCTACTCAGGCCGGTAGTAGCTGGTCCACTCCAGGAGAGTGAGGTACGAGAGGCTCCTCCGCCCCCGCTGGACATCGAGGGGGCTCCGGCGTACTCAGTCCATTCCATCTTGGATTCGAGGCATCGGATGGGGGGCCTGCAGTATCTTGTGGAGTGGGAAGGGTACGGTCCGGAGGAACGGTGCTGGGTCCCTAGGAGGGACATCCTAGATCCCTCCATGTTGAGGGATTTCCACCGGAGTCATCCGACTCGCCCTGCTCCGCGTCCTCCTGGCCGTCCCCGAGGCCGGGGTGGGGGGTGGGGGGGGTGGGGGGGTACTGTCACGGATTCATCGCGCCACGGTTTCCTCCTCCTTGCTCGGGCAGGCTTCGGCGTTCGTCGTCCCCGGAGTACTAGCTGCTGCCGATCGATGTTTCGGTGTTTGTCTTGTTTGGTCTTTATTGTTTACACCTGTTTCCCATTATGTTTTATTGTGTTCCCTTTATAACCCTCTGTTTCTCATTGTGTATTGTGGGTTATTGTTTTGGTCTTTGCGGCAGTTGCCCATGTGTGCGGGTCTTGTTATTTCCCTCGCTGTTTGAGGTTGCCAGTGTACTTTGTATTGTTGCACTGCATCCAGTAAAGTTTCTGCCAGTAGCTCGGTGTCCTGCTCTTGACTTCGCCTACCGCATACACGTCGCTGTGACATTGTAGCTGGAAACGGCTGATTTTTTATGGAATATCTACATAGGCGTACAGAAGCCCATTATCAGCAACTATCAGTCCTGTGTTCCAATGGCACGTTGTGTTTGCTAATCCAAGTTTATCATTTTAAAAGGCTAATTGATCATTAGAAAACCCTTTTTGCAATTACAGTGAAGAGGCGACTCCGGGATGCTGACCTTCTAGGCAGAGTTGCAAAGAAAAAGCCATATCTCAGACTGGCCAATAAAAATAAAAGATTAAGATGGGCAGTCTGAGATATGGCTTTTTCTTTGCAACTCTGCCTAGAAGGTCAGCATCCCAGAGTCGCCTCTTCACTGTTGACTGGTGTTTTGCGGGTACTATTTAATGAAGCCGCCAGTTGAGGACCTGTGAGGCTTCTGTTTCTCAAACTAGACACTAATGTATTTGTCCTCTTGCTCAGTTGTGCACTGGGGCCTCCCACTTCTCTTTCTATTCTGGTTAGAGACAGTTTGCACTGTTCTGTGAAGGGAGTAGTACACAGCGTTGTACGAGATCTTCAGTTTCTTGACAATTTCTCGCATGGAATAGCCTTCATTTCTCAGAACAAGAATAGACTGACGAGTTTCAGAAGAAAGTTATTTGTTTCTGGACATTTTGATCATGTAATCGAATCCACAATTGCTGATGCTCCAGATACTCAACTAGTCTCAAGGGCAGTTTTATTGCTTCTTTAATCAGCACAACAGTTTTCAGCTGTGCTAACATAATTGCAAAAGGCTTTTCTAATGATCAATTAGCCTTTTAAAATGATAAACTTGGATTAGCAAACACAACGTGCCATTGGAACACAGGACTGATGGATGCTGATAATGGGCCTCTGTACGCCTACGTAGATATTCCATTAAAAATCAGCCGTTTCCAGCTACAATAGCCATTTACAACATTAACAATGTCTACACTGTATTTCTGATCAATTTGATGTTATTTGAATGGACAAAAAATGGCTTTTCTTTCAAAAACAAGGACATTTCTAAGTGACCCCAAACTTTTGAATGGTAGTGTATATACATACAGCGGATATAAAAAGTCTACACACCCCTGTTAAAATGCCAGGTTTTTGTGATGTAAAAGAATGAGACAAAGATAACTCATGTCAGAACTGTTTCCACTGTTAATGTGACCTATAATGTGAACAATTCAATTGAAAAACAAACTGAAATCTTCGAGGGGGAAAAATAAAAAATAAAAAACTCACAATAACCTGGTTGCATAAGTGTGCCACTGGGGATGTGGCTGTGTTCAGAATTAACCAATCACATTCAAACTAATGTTAAATAGAAGTCATTACACACCTGCCATCATTTAAAGTGACTCTGATTAATGACAAATAAAGTTCAGCTGTTCTAGTAGGATTTTCCTGACATTTTCTTAGTTGCATCTCAGAGCAAAAGCCATGGTCCGCAGAGAGCTTCCAAGGCATCAGAGGGATCTCATTGTTGAAAGATATCAGTCAGGAGAAGGGTACAAAATAATTTCCAAAGCATTACATATACCATGGAACACAGTGAAGACAGTCATCATCAAGTGGAGAAAATATGGCACAACAGAGACATTACCAAGAACTGGACGTCCCTCCAAAATGTATGAAAAGACGAGAAGAAAACTGGTCAGGGAGGCTTCCAAGAGGCCCACAGCAACATTAAAGGAACTGCAGGTATTTCTGGCAAGTACTGGCTGTGTGCTACATGTGACAACAATCTCCTGTATTCTTCATATGAATGGGCTATGAGGTAGGGTGGCAAGACTCCTACCCAAAAAGACTGAGTGCTGTAATAAAATCAAAAGGTGCTTCAACATAGTATTAGTTTAAGGGTGTGCACACTTATGCAACCAGGTTATTGTGAGTTTTTTATTTTTTATTTTTCCCCCTCAAAGATTTCAGTTTGTTTTTCAATTGAATTGTTTACGTTATAGGTCACATAAAAGGTGGAAAAAGTTCTGACTTGATTTATCGTTGTCTCATTCTTTTACATCACAAAAACCTGGCATTTTAACAGGGGTGTGTAGACTTTTTATATCCACTGTATATATCCACTACAAGTATGTGGCCACCCCTTCAAATTAGTGTATTTGGCTATTTCAGCCACACCTGTTGCTGACAGGTGTTTAAAATCGAGCACACCGCCATGCAATCTCCATAGACAAACACTGGCAGTAGAATGGCCCGTACTGAAGAGCTCAGTGACTTTCAACGTGGCACCGTCATAGAATGCCACCTTTCCAACAAGTCAGTTCGTCAAATTTCTGCCCTAAGCGAGGTCCATAGAGAAATGGTTTGTCGAGATTGGTGTGGAAGAACTTGACTGGCCTGCACAGAGCCCTGACCTCAACCCCATCGAACACCTTTGAGATAAATTGGAACGCAGACTGCGAGCCAGGCCTAATCGCCCAACATCAGTGCTCGACCTCACTAATGCTCTTGCTGTTGAATGGAAGCAAGTCCCCGCAGAAATGTTCCAATGTCCAATGGAAGGCCTTCCCTGAAGAGTGGAGGCTGTTATAGCAGCAAAGGGGGGACCAACTCCATATTAATGCCCATGATTTTGGAATGAGATGTTCTTTTGGCCATGTAGTATATACAGTGCATTCGGAAAGCATTCAGACCCCTTCCCTTTTTCCACATTTTGTTACGTTACAGCCTTATTCTAAAATGGATTAAATAAAATAAAAATCCTCATCAATCTACACACAATACCCCATAATGACAAAGCATAAACAGGTATTTAGAAACATTTTCAAATTTATTTTAATTAAAAACAGAATTATCTTATTTACGTAAGTATTCAGACCCTTTGCTATGAGACTCGAAATTGAACTAATGTGCATCCTGTTTCCATTGATCATCCGTGAGATGTTCCTACAACTTGATTGGAGTCTAACTGTGGTAAATTCAATTGATCGGACATGATTTGTAAAGGCACACACCTGTCTATATAAGGTCCCACAGTTGACAGTGCATGTCAGAGCAAAAAACAAGCCATGAGGTTGAAGGAATTGTCCGTAGAACTCAGAGACAGGATTGTGTCGAGGCACAGATCTGGGGAAGGGTACCAAAAACGTTCTGCAGCATTGAAGGTCCCCAAGAACACATTGGCCTCCATCATTCTTAAATGGAAGAAGTTTGGAACCACCAAGACTCTTCCTAGAGCTGGCCGCCCGACCAAACTGAGCAATCGGGGGACAAGGGCCTTGGTCAGGAAGGTGACCAAGAACCCAATGGTCACTCTGACAGACCTCCACAGTTTGTCTGTGGAGATGGGAGAACCTTCCAGAAGGACCCGATTGAACATCTCTGGAGAGATCTGAAAATACCTGTGCAGCGACGCTCCCCATCCAACCTGACAGAGCTTGAGAGGATCTGCAGAGAAGAATGGGAGAAACTCCCCAAATACAGGTGTGCCAAGCTTGTAGCGTCATACCCAAGAAGACTCAAGGCTGTAATCTCTGCCAAAGGAGCTTTAACAAAGTACTGAGTAAAGGGTCTGAATACTTATGTAAATGTGATATTTACGTTTTTTACTTTTAATACATTTGCAAAAATGTCTAAAAACCTGTTTTTGCTTTGTCATTATGGGGTATTGTGTGGAGACTGATGAGGGGAAAAAACAATTTTATCAATTTTAGAATAAGGCTGTAACGTAAATGTGGAAAAAGTCAAGGGGTCTGAATACTTTCCGAATGCACTGTATAGATATATATATGTAATGTATATAACAACAACATTCAATGTCACTATGTTGACATATTCTAATGAGACCATATTACAGTTGTATAGGGTCGGTGCAATACTCATTCAATCAGACACAGTATGAGCGATCAGGGGCATTTATTCATGTGTTTCCCATCTCATTCACACAAATCAGCCTCTCCCTGAATCAGGACCAGTATAGCTAGACAATATATATGCTCGTCCTATAATCAATCCTCTGTCAAATAATGCAATGGTTAAGACTACAGAACAGGTCAGCAGGGATGGAGGACCCATCTTTTTTCTATTACCTGCTTTACTGTGTTGATCTTGTGGGGTTCCAGCTTCAGCAGCTGCTCAATGGGATCCTCACCTGGATGAAGAGACAGGAAGGAGAGGGTTTATCTCTGCAATGTTCTGGATAAACCACAGTACAGTACTGCAAAGGTGACCCTGAATATCTTACTCACTGTCTGAACTGCTCAGCGAGTCTGTAGTTGAATTGCTGTTGAAGTAGACAGCAAATTAAGTGAATATTCAATCTTCTGAAACATAATCCATTCTCTGAAGAATATGCAACTGTAATCGGACACAACAACATAATCGGAAATAATTTACCAACCTTTCAACTGTAAGAATCTCTATTTCCTTTTCTGATTTGATTCCACTTCTGTTGACCTGTATACGCAAGATACAGTGAAGTGTGAGCACAACTTTATTGAACAGGAGAGTTTATTTTTTAGCTTGATTTAGGGTAAAGTACCATTCATTTGACACCAAACTCACCTCCAACAGGACAACTTCCACTCTGACGTTTGGGGGAAGCTCCAGATTAGGCTGGAAGCACCTCACCATGGCAACCAGAAGATGGAGAGTGGCCAGCAAGTCTTTGTTGTGGATGACTGAAAGAGAAGGAAGGGAATGAAGGGAGAGTCAAGCTGCTTGAACACCATACCATACCAAAGCCCCATGCAGTCAATCTTGTTGGCACCACAACACAAACTAATCTCCAGCCCCACTGATGATTAAAACTACACCCTGTGGGGCTGCTTTTCCCCCTACAATAATCCCTCTCTGTTGGTGTCAGCAGACAGGTAGCAACCTGGGGTTATACTGTAGCTTCACCATCAAATCCTATTGAAGAGTCCCTTAGCCAAACATGGCTCTGAGGGGAACAGCAGTGTTGTGTAGCATTCCCAGCCAACAGGGGACGTCCTAAGGACTTGGTTTTGTTTGCGGGGTTATATTGTGAATGTGACTCACGTTTGACGCTCCACCTGGTGAGAGAGCTGTCCTGCAGCCCCAGTTTCTCATTCAGAGCCTCCAGGATGAGCTCCAGCTTGCGTGTCTGAGCGGCGCTGGTCACCGCTATCTCCTCCACAGACAGATGCACTCCAGCTAACCTCCCTATGAACAGCACAGGTAAAGGCCAAGCACATACAGAGAGAGAAAGAGAGTGTGTGTGCGTGCGTGTCTCACTAAGGAGGTGATGGAGGACTAGGCCATCAAAGATATCCTCTTCCAGACTCTGCACCACGATGTGTTCCTCTTTCAAAGTGCTGTTGATCCAGTCAACCAATACCTGTAAAGACCAAGGTTCATGATAAAAGTAAGTTACATTCAGTGATATTAACTACCTGCTACAGTACTGTACTAGTCTCTTTTGACATAGCTACTGTTACAGAGATGTACCAAATGGAACAGCACAGATATTTGGTTCTGGATGCAAAGATCTGTACCATACTATCGACTGCAGTGGAAACTGCTGAAGGGAGGACGGTCATTATAATGGCTGGCATGGAGTGTAATAGAGTGAATGGAATGGTATCAAACATATGAAAACCATGTGTTTGATACCATTCCATTTACTCCATTCCAGCCATTATTATAAGCAGTTTCCTCTCAGCAGCCTCCACTGATCTGCTGTGGTAAATCTTTGTATACATGACCTTTACTGATCCATTCAGAGCAGACTCTGATGTTATGATATCAAAGGATTCATATTGCAATTTCCACTTATGTTTCTATAAAATTATTCATGAGTAAGAGACTGTTTGGTGTGTTATTGAGGTGATAAAAGAGAGCGTATATGGGATTACAAGGGCCAGATAGACTCCGTGGTTTTCTCTTTCCAACACTTTTATGCCTACATTGTTTTATGCTCATCTAATTGATAAAAACAATTATTTGATTTTACTTGAATTTATTCCACAAGTATCTTTTCTATTTCAAATCCTCTTTGAGGGCTTAGGGAGAAGGTTCCCCGACAACAACTATCTAGCCCTAGCAATGACTCTGTGATCTGTCTACCATCATCTCTAATAAAGACGTTCATGAAAAATGTACTGGTCTACCCACCTCACACACAAGAGAGCTTAGTGGTTCAGCAATACCCTAACGAATATGCAATCAGAGGCATTCTTTGTAATGACTTTTCTGCCCATATGACCCTGGAGTAACATGGCCCTATAGTATAATAGCATAATGTATGAATGGTATTATGGGCTTTGATGATAGATGATACATTTAGGATAATATTGTGGCTGGTGTTGGAACATGAATTCTAAAATAGAGATCAGTCTTACCGCTTTCAGCTTTTCAAGTTTGGGGTCTTTCAAAAATGTCGGCTGAATGATCTTCCTCCTCTCACCTGTTTCAACAAGCAAAATGTTCAGTTGAGACCACTGCTTGACAACCATTTTGGAAAGAAAATATAAGCCTGAGCTTGAGTACAGTTGAATGTAGACTTACCCTGGAAAGATCCAATGTCCTCAGGGTCATTCCCCTGGTGCATATCAGGAAAATCCTCCATATCCCCTCTAGTGAGCAAAATATAAACTGACTGCTTCTGGTATCAGTGTAGCCTACAGTGTAAATAATAGTTCAAATTCAATTCATGTAAGGGATCATTTCAAACCTCCGATGTGAAAACTGAAACAGTTCTGGTATTTGATTTGGTTACTTCCTTCTCTGTGAGTTCACTTCTGCCTATGCTGAGACCACACAAATGAAAGAAATGGGCAAATGGATATAACCCCATAACTTCCCACTACAACGCTGCATGCAATCATTTCTCTGCATATTTCGTTTGGATTATGGGCCCCAAAACAACACAAAACAGAAACAAGCTCAGAGGAATGCCTTTTGACTGTAGACTAACCTGACCGGGATACACTGTGACCAACAATATGTCAGTGTCTCCCTGAAACTAGTGTAGCTTCACTGTGCCATCTTTGTGTGTGTAGAGTACTCCTCTCCTAAGGATTCTCTGCCTGAAGTTGACACACCTAATCCAGTAAACCTTACCTTCAGAGCAGTAGCAGCAAGCAGACAGAATAGGGGAACTCCTGTGTACAGCTTCCTGACTGACTTCAATACTGAATCAATCCAAATAGCCGTGCTACAAAGAGAAGTACACCCAATCTGACAAGCAGTTCTCCAGAAACATGCCACGGGATAACAGCACAAACAAAATTCATCCAATTCAGGACCAATTAAACATTTCTATGAGAAACAAAAAGGAAGAATGACGGAATAAACGGGTAAAAAGAGAATTGAGAGGATGCGGAAGGAAAGAAGTAAGCAGTGAGCACTTCCTCTTTTGTAACTGTGGTTTTGTTACACACAGTTCAGAGCGCATTCTGAGGAGAGGCCTTGTATATGACGCTTAGTGGTCAAGACTTGTAGTTTAGAGCATTAGGATAGAGTGCAAGACCAGTAAAAGCGAGGTCACTTCACCTTCTAGAAGTGAAAGCATTTTCTTGGCAACCACACAGGAGGCCCAAACGAACATGACACCTAGCAACCCTACTGTATGGCTCACTGACAACCCTCTCACACATTCCCTTTGGAAGCTGGCCGTATCAATTGGTTGTTGTCTGTCCTCCAGCACTCCACAATCATCGGCAGAGAGAGACAGAGACAACACACTGCATGTGCTCCGTCTCTAAGTCAGAGGAGCAGAGAAAAACACAGACGCCATCACCCAGAGAGGAAAGGGGGATTTGGGAAAGGGGCGGTAGCCATGGTAACCAAGAAAATAGACAAGAAAATAAAGACAGGGTCCTAAAATAAACCCCATAATTCCTTTGGCTAAACCGAAACAAGAAGGCTTGTGATGTGAGTTCTAATCTACGACCCACTTCTGATTCACTTTGAAGGCAAACTAAGAAAGCTAACGTACATGTATGAAGTGTATAATTAAAAGAACAACACCCGCTGTCTGAGTTTAAACATTTATTTTGGGATAAACAGACATCGAGGCAGATACATACAAGCAGTGAGACAAGTTGTTCATCCCTCTCAATAATTTACCCTCGGTCTAAAATGCATGAGTGGACTCCTGTAGGCTACATGCAGCTCTCTGGTCTCTCGCTCTCTGCTACATCGTGGTGGAGAGCCTCGCTAGCTGTCCTCCGGGCACTCTACTGGGAATCGTCTGAAGGGCAGGTTAATACCACAATGCTTTGTGGCTCTCTCGGGTACAGTAAGAAGAGAATAACATGGCACTTAAGGCGAAAGGCAACAGGGTCAGCATCGGCTAAGGAATATGGCTTGAACCTGTCCACATAAACAATCAGAGAATACTAAAAGTACTGTTAAAATTCATTCATATTTTGAAATGGCTAGATACAATAGAACAATATATGTATCAATAATAATAATAATAATAATAATAATAATAATAATAATATGGGAATAATATACAAAGCTTTCTGAGATATGATATACAGCAAGTCCTTGCACATGCAAGCAGTGGATCATAAATATCTTCTTATAAAGCAGCAGTGGCTTTTTTGCATAAAATACATGTTTTCCAGTTGCATTAATCATTCTCCAGTGTTGACTGAGTACTAAAAGATGAAACATAAGTGTGCTGGGGTAGGGGTTACGGTTAGCATAAAGGAGGATTTAAATACTGACATTGGGGAGATTAAATACAAACATTCTGAGTCTCTTTACGCCATCCCACTGATACGAGGGGGGACTTTGGTTTAGTCCCAGTGGGTTCCTCAGGGGTTCAGACATCAGCCAGTGTGAAGGTAGCACAAACACAGTGCCTTCATTCTCCTCACACTATATTGTGACAGTGTGTGGCAGGCAGACATCACTCTGAGTTCTTATAGTTGGTGAACAGGTTGTACAACACCCTCAAGGTGGACTTCAGGTTCAGGTTCACAACGTCTAGAACCAAACAAGACACACAAAATAAGTAAAAAGTTATTAAAAACAAATAAACAAACTGCTTTCTGGGAGGAAAGATCACAAACACACAAACAAAAGTCAAGGAAGCTCATGCTGCTTGACCGATTCTGGGTGATATTGGTATGCAAAAAGAAAAATGAAAAATTAATCCTGTGAGACTTTATATTCAGAATGATAAGAGCTGGCGGGGTTAGCTTGGGTGTGTGGGTCACAGGCTGGCTTAGACATACACCAATGTTCAAGTATCTAAAGTGAGGCAAGATCTACACCTATTGGACATCTAAGGCATTACAGCTACTCAAGTGTCATAACCTTTCCGATGCATAGTCTACCTAAATCAAGCTTCTCTTTCCAACTGAATTTCCACTGCCTGCATTCCCCACCATGTGTTACTGGCTTTCTACTATACCTTCTGGCCTTGCTTTGGGTTTCTTCAGGCCTCCGTCCTGCATCAGTTCAAAGGCAAACGCCACGTTGTGGACCTGAGGGGAACCAGGGGAGAGGATCAACCGGAGGAACCTGCTAACAGTCGACCAAAGAATCACCACTTCTACAAGTCCACCACTTTCAGAGAAACACCACTTCTAAAAGTCCGACCTACCTTCTGCTCAAAGTTCTCTGGTGTGAGGAAGAAGTTATAGAGGGGGACAAAGTAGTTCTCCAGCAGTCCCATCAGCAGCACCAGGTACACACCATCAGCAAACTGGACACAAGAATATAAAAACAACATGACGAAATGGAGGAAAATTCACTGTATCTTATTCCCAGTAGTTACAGTATGTTATATTGATTGAGCTGTTGTGTAGTTAAATACAGCATCATCAGATGTCTAACCTGTGACTCCAACTCTGTGACCTCCAGGTTCAGCTTGTTCAAGTGTTTGTTCACAAAGGTGATGAGGGACTGATGGAGAGAAGTATAAAAAAGCAAAGTGTAAAGTATGAAGGAACCAAACACAATGCCTTCTGCAAGTTTAAATCTCTCTTCAAATATTCTACCTTCTTCACAACATTGAGCTTGTCCGGTGCGTGATCCAGGAGTGTGTCAAATGCATCCCTTTCTGAGATACAGGAAAAAAATTGAGATAATAAAACTCCACATTAATCAAATTTTACAACCGATCTCAATGTTCAACCAACATCTACTCACCAAATCTACCCATCATCATCCTAGAAAAAAGAAAAACAGGTTATACCAACACACTGTAAGGATTTCCACAGAAACTGAAAAGATATATATCAAGCGATATAACAGTAGTACAGACTCTGTCGTGCTCGTCAGCTCCTTAGTCACATGAGACGTCTGCAGTATGCCCTCCCTTTTCTAAAACAAACAAAACCACCAATACAGGTCAATGCGTCATCATCATGAGGTGTAATAGATAATAGATGTCAAATGTGTGCTGTGTCTCCTTACTTTGACCACCACCACCTGTACAGAGACGTGCTCCGGCAGTCTGATGGGGGCCAGGTAGTGCATGGCCAGAGCCACCAGCAGGTACACTATGGCCACCAGGTTCTTAGCATGGATAGCTGTGGACGGTGGAGAAGACCAAGAGAGGGTGTTGTGAGCCGTGACATCACGTTGAATTACTATGGCTAGAATGACTTTACCATGGTTGAATAGTGTGCCATATGCACTTCAGTACTACTGTAAATCAGGTGAAATACAGTTCAGAACTACTGTAAATCAGGTGAAATACAGTTCAGAACTACTGTAAATCAGGTGAAATACAGTTCAGTACTACTGTAAATCAAGTAAAATACAGTTCAGTACTACTGTAAATCAAGTGAAATACAGTTCAGTACTACTGTAAAGCAAGTGAAATACAGTTCAGTACTACTGTAAATCAAGTAAAATACAGTTCAGTACTACTGTAAATCAGGTGAAATACAGTTCAGTACTACTGTAAATCAGGTGAAATACAGTGCCTATGGTAATATTCAACGAGAAGATAATGTATCTCTTTAAAGACTTAGGATGCCATAACATAACGGATCTGTAGTAGCAATTGTGTAAAATTATGTGTCTGATGGTCTGTGAACCTTTACGTTAGTCCTATGTGGCAAACTGGATATTGAATTACTGTATTTTCATGCCTTAGTGGACAACTCACATTCGACGCTCCACTCGATGGACCAGCCGTGAGGCCTGAGCAGCTCGTTGACGGCCTCCAGTACTGTCTGGAGCTTCTGTTTCTGTCCTATCTCTGACTGGGTCACCTCAGCCACATTCAGCTTACGCCCAGACAGCTTCTCTGTCACCGGGAGAGAGGAGTTACACAGTTATGCAGATCTGTACACTACACCATTTATCCAAATACTGTGTACTGCGAAGTTACCTTTTCAACTCTAGAATTTTATACACAAACAATCAAAAACAAGTTCAGCCACAGACATTACACAGAGTCCAAACTAATTATTCCTTACCAAATAACTTCTGAAGCACCTGTCCATCATAGCAATCCTCCTCCAAGTCTTTGACGATGATCCTGTCCTCTTCCAGCTCATTGTTGATCCAGTCTATCAATACCTAGAAACAAGAACATACAGTTGAAGTTTCAGGTTTAGATCTGTTATCAGTGTGTGATCTACAATTTGCAGAATCCAGAAAGAAATACTAAGCTATGCATAAGACACCTACCCTCTGAAGATCTTTGAATTTTGGATTCTCTCTTGAGGTCGGATCCAGCATGTTCCTCTCAGCATTCTCTTCTAAGAAAGACATGATGGGAGAAAGCCACTCAGCTGTGAAGCCAGAGGGATCCAACTAATAGATGGTGGAAGTTCACACATATTCTTACACATTCGAAGACTACAACATGCCCCCTCCACACCCACACACACACACAGTCCTCTTCTCCTGCAGATTGCACACTCATCTTGGATCATAGAGTGAATCAGACTGGTGATGAGTGGAACTAAGACACATGGTGTTGTCCTTACTCCACCCTTGCACATTGCTCTGCACATTGCTCTTTCATTTCCTCTTCCACCAAAGGTCTCTCACGGTCACAATTAGTTCCCAGAGTTCCCAGAAGTCACCCCCAATCAGCTTCAGTAAGGTCCCCAGACATAACTTCATAACCCTCAGGCATCAATGAGTACAATTGTCACAATTGGCCAAAAGTGTTATCAACAGTCCACCAAAGGCATCAGCAGTCAGTGACCAATAAAGATGCACTGACAAGACTGAAGTGGATTGACAACAAATGGCACAACAGTTTTGGATACATAAGATTCTATAGATGAAAGAGGCTGTGGTTTGTCCCGGAGGCCTACAGAGCCATACACTCTTAGAGAAAAAGGTACTATCTAGAACCAAAAATGGTTATTTGGCTGTCCCCATAGGAGAACCCTTTGTAGAACCCCTTTTGGTCCCAGGTAGAACCCTTTTGGTTCCAAGTAGAATCCTTTCCCCAGAGGGTTCTACATGGAACCCAAAAGAGTTCTACCTGGAACCAAAAAGGGTTCTACCTGGAAACAAAAAGGGTTCTCCTATGGGAGTGTACTGTATGTATTGAGGTTAGCGTTAGGAGTTTGAGTTGGTGTTACCGAGCAACACAGAAACATGTTGTATGTATGAAGGTTAGTTTTAGGGTAAGGGTTTGAGTTTTAGGAGTTGTTGTTACCCAGCATGGTGTCCTCAGGGTGGATTTCAGTCCCAGAGGGCAGCATGGGAGTGTTGATGGCGTTCTTCCCCTCCTCATGAAGGTCACTCACTGGGGACAGGGACAACAGAGAGGACACACCATTAGATAAACACCTTTAGTCAGTAGCATTAACCTCAGAGTGACCCCCACCACACACATACACACAGTTTCAGTTTCAAGTTTTATTAGTCGTATGTACGGGATACGCATGGTATACATCGTCCAATGAAATGCTTACTTGCAGGTTCCTACACAACAATGCAACAACAATAAGAAATAAGAAAAGATAAGAATAAGAACATTAAGTAAATGGCTCTGTAGAATAGAATAAACAAGAACATACAGTTAAAGTTTCAGGTGTAGATCTGTTATCAGTGTGTTCTACAAGTGACATTATCTAGAAAGAAATACTAGGCTATGGATAAGAGCCTAGCACACACACGCAAGTGAAGATATTCATATTTTCCATTCTATTAAAGCTCAGTAAGAGGGCACACACACAGCACACCCCCACAGCTGTCTAAGTGTGGCAGCGGTGGGCTCCTGTGTGTGAGTGTGAGTGTGAGTGTGAGAGTGTGTGTGTGTGTGTGTGTGTGTGTGTGTGTGTGTCTGTGTGTCTACCCAACTGTCTGGTGTGAGGGGGGGCTTAACACACTGCCTGGAGCCCAAGACTGTGACACCACACTTTCTCCATGGGCAGTTCTATACTAATACTAATCCAGAAATCTAATGAATCTATTAGTGAATTGATGATAACAAGCACTGAATGGGATACATCAACATTACTTAATTGATCACTGAGGATGTAAATAGTCTCTTGTGACTGTTAAGCACATGTAATACTTGATCCTGGGTTCCGAGATTAGGCTGTAAACAAACCACAAGATGAAGCCAAACCACTCTGTTGCTGAGCTGAGCTTCGATTCACCTTCACTGACAACACAGGCTGACGTTACCTCTGGGATTTGGCTAGTGTCTACATTTATGCCTCTAACCCTAATGGCTACATTCCTTTCATCTTCCTCTGTGGCAGAAAGCAGCAGACAGCACATTTAAGGTATGCAGAAAAGGGATGTTGTTGATGTTGGAGAGAGGAGTAGTCCTCTGTAGTTTCTAAAGATGTCCTATCTGATTTGCCCTGCTGTAGAGCTCAACCACAAGCCAGCGGGCTACAGTATGCCTGCCTGCATCACACACCAGATCAGCATTTCCTTCATAATTACAGTCCTGCATTTCATCATAATTGTGCTACTTCCTCCCTCTGTGACTCTGTCCAGTACATCTGTGATAGAATTGAATGAGCGAAAATTACTGTTAAGGATTTGACCAAAGCCCTCACAAACTATAATATAGCCAAATAATACTGGCATAGAGATGTAATGTGTCAATAGATCACAACCGAAGCAAAATCTGAATTACTCCCCAGTTACTTGTAAACTGAAGAAAAAATATCCAGCATACATTTCTCATATCAAAACACAAACATGAACGGGTCCCTAAACAGCAACATACCAGCAGCACTCACAAAATGTACAGGGCATGCTTCCACATTCATAAATCAGAGTTCCTCAAAGCCCGCCATAAGCAGCCCTCCCAGCCAATCCCACCATGTCAAACAGAACTACCTTGTTTCTTCCTCTTGGTCCCACATAGTAGGCCTGCCATGTCTCCAGAAATTAGCCCTAGAATCCCAGAGGTGCCCAGAGAGTAGCAACGAAGTGAAGGTATAGTGGTAGAGAGAGTGTGTGTGTGAGAGTGTGTGAGGTCCTGCCGGTGGGACTAGGCAGTGGACGCGGCGTCATCACGTGTTTATTTCTGTCACAACCCCCCCACCCTGCGGTCCAGTTACAGGAGCAGAGGAGGGGTGGGTGTGTGTGTGTGTGGATGGGTTGGTTCTTGTATCCTTGTGGGGACCTAAAATCCCCAAAAGACCCCACAAGGATAGCAAAACAAGGAAAATTCTCCCTTGTGGGGACATTTCCCACATCCCCATGAAGACAAAGGCTATTTTAAGCTTAGGGGTTAGGTTTAGGGTTACAACTAGGGTTAGGGTTAGAATTAGGGTTAGGGTAAGGGTAAGGGGCTAAGGGTTAAGGGTTAGGAGTTAGGTTTAGAGTTTGGGTTAGGGTTACGGGTTAAGTTTAGGGTTTGGTTTAAGGTTAGGGAAAATAGGATTTTGAATGGAAATCAATTTTAGGTCCCCACAAGGTTGAATAACAAAAAATGTGTGCGTGTGTGTGTGTGTGTGTGTGTGTGTGTGTGTGTGTGTGTGTGTGTGTGTGTGTGTGTGGACGGAGGAGGTCTCCAGGACAGGAAGGGAACTGCAACCACAGTAGCAGAGCACTACCTAACTAACCCCTGGGACGCTACGGAGACAACAGAGAGCATGGATACTAATCAAATCAAATCAAATCAAATTGTCTTAGAGAGCACCCTGCTGACAGGGTATTAGAGGAGAGAGACAGACAGAAAAAGAGAGAAAGAGAGAGTTCTGTGTTTCTGTCTGTCAGTGTCCTCCTACGGAGCTCCTATTCACACTCTGGGATGTCTCTTCTCTCCCTGAGCTCTACTCGATTGCTGCAGACAGAGCTGTCGGCCCCTATAGAGAAAGATTTGTATTCAAGTCAAATCAAATCAAAATGTATTTGCCACATGCGCCGAATACAACAGGTGTAGACATTACAGTGAAATGCTTACTTGCAAGCCCTTAACCAACAATGCAGTTTTTTAAAGAAAAAAGTAAAATAAAAAAAGTGTTAAGTAAAAAAAATAAAAGCAAATAACTAAACAGCAGCAGTAAAATAAAATAACAGTAGGGAGGCTATATACAGTGGGGTACCGGTACAGAGTCAATGTGCGGGGGCACCGGCTAGTTGAGTGAATTGAGCTAATATGTACATGTGGGTAGAGTTAAAGTGACTATGCATAAATAATAAACAGAGTAGCAGCAGTGTAAAAAAAGGGGATGGAGTAGGGTGGGGGGGGCAGTGCAAATAGTCCGGGTAGCCATGATTATCTGTTCAGAAGTCTTATGGCTTGGGGGTAGAAGCTGTTGAGAAGCCTTTTGGACCTAGACTTGGCGCTCCGGTACTGCTTGCCATGTGGTAGCAGAGAGAACAGTCTATGACTAGGGTGGCTGGAGTCTTTGACAATTTTTAGGGCCTTCCTCTGACACCGCCTGGTATAGAGGTCCTGGATGGCAGGAAGCTTGGCCCCAGTGATGTACTGGGCCGTACGCACTACACTCTGTAGTGCCTTGCGGTCGGAGGCCGAGCAGTTGCCATACCAGGTGGTGATGCAACCAGTCAGGATGCTCTCGATGGTGCAGCTGTATAACTTTTTGAGGATCTGAGGACCCATGCCAAATCTTTTCAGTCTCCTGAGGGGGAATAGGCTTTGTCGTGCCCTCTTCACGACTGTCTTAGTGTGTTTGGACCATGATAGTTTGTTGGTGATGTGGACACCAAGGAACTTGAAGCTCTCAACCTGTTCCACTACAGCCTCGTCGATGAGCATGGGGGCGTGCTCAGTCCACTTTTTTTTCCTGTAGTCCACAATCATCTCCTTTGTCTTGATCACATTGAGGGAGAGGTTGTTATCCTGGCACCACACGGCCAGGTCTCTGACCTCAGCCTATAGGGAGGTCTCATAATTGTCGGTGATCAGGCCTACCAATGTTGTGTCGTCGGCAAACTTAATGATGGTGTTGGAGTCGTGCCTGGCCATGCAGTCATGGGTGAACAGGGAGTACAGGATGGGACTGAGCACGCACCCCTGAGGGGCCCCCATGTTGAGGATCAGCGTGGAAGATGTGTTGTTACCTACCCTCACCACCTGGGGGGCAGCCCGTCAGGAAGTCCAGGATCCAGTTGCAGAGGGAGGTGTTTAGTCCCAGGATCCTTAGCTTAGTGATGAGCTTTGAGGGCACTGTGGTGTTGGAACGCTGAGCTGTAGTCAATGAATAGCATTCTCACGTAGGTGTTCCTCTTGTCCAGGTGGGAAAGGGCAGTGTGGAGTGCAATAGAGATTGCATCATCTGTGGATCTGTTGGGGCGGTATGCAAATTGGAGTGGGTCAAGGGTTTCTGGGATATTGGTGTTGATGTGAGCCATGACCAGCCTTTCAAAGCACTTCATGGCTACAGACGTGAGTGCTACGGGTCGGTAGTCATTTAGGCAGGTTATCTTAGTATCTTAGTGTACTACTACACTACACTCTACTGCACTGACAGGTACCATGTTGTGTTTGTGTACCCAAACTAGCAACAGCAGTATTGCGTAGGAAGGTGCATGGTAACACAATATGATTGAACTATCATACCGCATAGGAGAACAGTCTAATGCTGAATAAATCAGACAGCAATGTGATGTTCCTGTTTTTTGTTTATATGATAATCAGAGGTAAGCTACATATGGAAAAAACAAACTGGCTATCTAGGTTAGCGATGTTCTTTAGTGTACAACTTCATCCTTATACTATAAGCATTGCATTCAGATCTTAAAGGTCCAATGCAGCCGTTTTTATCTCAATATCAAATCATTTCCTGGTAACAATTAGGTACCTTACTGTGAAAGTTTTCAATTAAAATGGTCAAAAATAAACTAAAATAGATTCTTAGCAAAAAGCAATTTCTCAAGCAAGGATTTTGCTAGGACTGCCTAGGAGGAAAACTAGCTGTTATTGGTAGAGAGGTTTTGAACTCTCTTTCTTATTGGTCTATTAAATAATTTACCAACTGGTGATTTTACCAGGCAGGCCAAAACTCCATCCCACCACAACAGGCTGAAATTTCAGGCGGTCTATTCATACAGCTCATACACTAAAAGGGCATTATCATAATTTTCAGAATTTCACAGTATTATGCCAACCTCATAGTGTATAAATATACACTATATATACAAAAGTATGTGGACAGCCCTTCAAATTAGTGGATTCGGCTATTTCAGCCACACCCATTGATGACAGCTGTATAAAATCGAGCACACAGCCATGCAATCTCAATAGACAAACATTGGCAGTAGAATGGCCTTACCGAAGAGCTCAGTGACTTTCAATGTGGCACCGTCGTAGGATGCCACCTTTCCAACAAGTCAGTTCGTAAAATTTCTGCCTTGCTAGAGCTGCCCCGGTCAACTGTATGTGCCTTACTGTGAAGTGGAAATGTCTAGGAGAAACAACGGCTCAGCCGCGAAGTGGTAGGCCACACAAGCACACAGAACGGTACCGCAGAGTGCTGAAGCGCGTAGCGTGTACAAATCATCTGTCCTCGGTTGCAACACTCACTACCGAGTTCCAAACTGCCTCTGGAAGCCACGTCAGCACAATAACTGTTCATCGGGAGCTTCAAGAAATGGGTTTCTATGGCCGAGCAGCCGCACACAAGCCTAAGATCACCATGCATAATGCCAAGTGTCGGCTGGAGTAGTGTAAAGCTCGCTGCCATTGGACTCTGGAGCAGTGGAAACGCGTTCTCTGGAGTGATGAATCACACTTCACCATCTGGAAGTCCGGCGGACGAATCTGGGTTTGGCGGATGCCAGGATAACGCTACCTGCCCCAATGCATAGTGCCAACTGTAAAGTTTGGTGGAAGAGGAATAATGGTCTGGGGCGGTTTTTCATGGTTCGGGCTAGGCCCCTTAGTTCCAGTGAAGGGAAATCTTAACGCTACAGCATACAATGACATTCTAGACGATTATGTGCTTCCGACTTTGTGGCAACAGTTTGGGGAAGGCCCTTTCCTGTTTCAGCATGACAATGCTCCTGTGCACAAAGCGAGGTCCATACAGAAATGGTTTGTCGAGATCGGTGTGGAAGAACTTGACTGGCCCTTGTGGCTGAATGGAAGCAAGTTCCCGCAACAATGTTCCAACATCTAGTGGAAAGCCTTCCCAGAAGAGTGGAGGCTGTTATAGCAGCAAAGGGGAGACCAACTCCATATTAATGCCCATGATTTTGGAATGAGATGTTCGACAAGCAGGTGTCCACATACTTTTGGTCATGTAGTGTATATAAAACACAGGAAAATCACATTTTTGACTGCACTGGGCCTTTAATCTGTTTTGTTGCGTTGAACAATTAATCATGCGCTAAATGTATTCCTCTTAATATAATTACACTAATTCAGTTCTACCCCCGGCATTGCAGTGAAATAAATCTCCAGCCAGCTTCTTTGCAGGCATTATATGAAACCCCTCGCATGGTTAAGCCCATTAGCTGAGTAGAGTAGGCAGAAGACTGCAGTCAATAGACAAAAACAACAACATCCCAGCAGCAATTTAGCTGCAGGCTGGAGCTAAAGTGTGTCAAATTCATGGTGTAAATATAATGTACACATTCTTTGAATATGAAAAGCTTATATCTCTCTAGATATTCAATGTAAAACAAGGTTTCCGTGCCCCCTGGGGGGACTTGATTTTCTGTGACCCGGGGAAAGTTATTCATGTCTCAGTGAGACAGGCAAGGCCTTAAATTTAGCCCAGGTTATTTATGCCAGGCAAGCAGCATAGGCATGAGTGACTAAACGGACATAGAATCCTCACACACACCCACTGTCCAGAGCTGAGATGATCATGTCACAACCCTGGCCTGGGCTATTCAGGGCTTTCAATTATACCATTTCATTAGCTATGATGACAGTCATGCTGACTACACTACTGGTAATCCTTCACTGACTTACAACACTTATGAGAATCATGGTGACATCAGGCTTCAGAAATAACATTACATAAAGGAAAATTGA